GCACAGGAACGGAGTTCCAGCTGGCTCCCAAGTTGGCCATGCCCAGCAGGAACTTATTAGCATAATAGGCCACACCCAACAGCAGAAACTCATTAAGACTGGCTACATTAGGGGTGTGTGGCCTAACATGCAAAGGAATTCCTGCTACAAAAAAAGCCCTGGGTTTTGACAACAAACAAGGTAAACAGAATAACAAGCAAAAGGTGGGTGTGGCTGGATGAGCACACTTAAGGTAACATGGGGGTGTGGCCTAATGTGCTAATGAGCTGTGCTGTCAGGGGTGTGGCCTAATATGCTAATGAGTTTCTGCTGTTGGGTATTGCCTATTATGCTATTGAGTTCCTGCTGGGCTTTTTCTATAAAAAGAGCCCTGGAGCCTCTGAGAGAACTTGTGACTGACCCAAGGTCACGCCAGTAGCTGTACGTGGAAGAGTGGGGAATCAAACCCAGTTCTCCCAAATTAGAGGCCGCGCTCTTATCCACGACACCAAACTGGCAACAAGCTGAATAAAGTAAAGTAAGTACCTGCTGGGAACATCCTCTTCTGTTCCTTTGTCCAGCACACTGCTGAGGTTGTGCTCCGCCAGCGTCTCCTCGGGCACTTCTTCTAGTTCTTCTTCCCGCTGGACCGAGAGCCGATAATTCTCCAGCTCAATCCGCTCTGGCGTGCCACGTACCCGCTTGGCGAGACTGGGTTCTTCTAGGCCGTTGACATTGGGAGCTGAAGAAAGAGAATTAACAGAAGGGGGGGGATTTACCAGTGTTGATCCAATATGAAAATTTGCAAGCAAATGCACTCCAAACACATTTTCGAGCGCAGCATTAAATCTGATTCCTCCACGCAGAAGGAGCACAAATGACTGTATACTGATAGGGATGCCAGACCCCCTCTGGTGGGGGCGAGGGCCTCCTGCTACCAGCCCCCACCTCTCCACTACCGACCACCTGGCTGGCAGGGTGGAATTACCACCCCCAAAGGAAGAATGCCGTAAATTAATCCAAAATATCTAAGTGATCCAGAAGTGGCATAGGTACGTCATGGATGTCAGGGGGCGACACTCTGGTTTTTTGGCAAAACTCTATGGCAGAAGCTAATTCTACCATAGAGTTTTGCCCAGAAAGCAGAGTGTCATTCCCCCGATGTGCCTACATCACGTCTGGGTCATGTAGGCATATCACATTAATTTCCAGCGTTCTTCTCTGCTCCTAGTAAGTGTACCTCCCCATACCCTGCCATCTCCTCCACCTAAAAGAGTTGTTCTTAATAGTGTGACTTGGAACTACTATACTCACACTTCTGTACATCCTTTGAAGATATTTGGTGTATTCATCTGTATGATACAGTCCTTGTGTGCATACAGTATTGCAGTGAGCATTAATTTGCTTATAAGAAGAATATTAGGATTTTATGTACAGTGTTGGTGCACAGTTCTTCTTGTTTACTGACTTCCGAGGGACCTGGCAACTGTATATACTGACCGTGTGAAGATGCTATTATATGTAGGATTTGGAACGCCAATTCTAAAGAGAGAGATCTTCAAACGCACAAGCGGCTGAAGAGGCACAGTCCCAGATGGATGCATGCAGCACAACATGGTGATTAACTCCCGAGATGGTAGAAGGGGCCGTGGCTCTGTGGCAAAGTATCTGTACTTGGCATGCAGAAGGCCCCAGGTTCAATCCCTGGCATCTCCAGGTAAAAGAATCAGATGGTAGTTGTGGTGGTGGAGGAGAGTTTTGCGGGGTTTTGCAGATACCGTGGACCGCCAAAAAAGACAAGTAAGTGGGTTCTAGCTCAAATGAAGCCTGTACTCTCCGTAGAAGCTAAAAATGACTAAAGTGAGGCTATCATACTTTGGTCACATGATGAGAAGACAAAACCCACCGTTAGGAAAAGTTGAAGGCAAGAGGAAGACCCAACATGACTCAATCAAGGAAGCTCCGGCCCTCAGTTTGCAAGACGTGAGCAAGACTGTCAGGACATTCTGGAGATCATTAACTCATAGGGTTGCCAAAGGAAGCAACCGGATGGCACTTAACCTATATGGTAGGTGATGTGAAGGACCTCTGCCTAAGGTCCTGGAGAGCTGCTGCTAGTCTGAGCAGACAAAACTGACTTGGATGGACCCAAGGTCTGACTGGAGACGGCAGCTTCATGTGATCATACTGCACTGACTAGACTGCTACCAGCAGGGAAACGCGGTTCTCTTCGA